TCTTGCTCAGAGCTTGCACTCCAACCAACTAAGCTACCCGGCTGCCCGATGAAAGCCTTTTTGACTATGACTTAAAATCTAGATGTCTTTGAAACGTCAATGAACTTGATTGCATAAAAATACAAAATTTTTGCATGGGGGAAAAATACCATGACCAAAGTTTTGAAAAAGAATCTGTCAGGAGGGGCATATAAACTCCTCTTGCAAGTAAAAGACTAGCCTCCCAAACATAAAGAATTCCTAGAAAATGAGAAAAACGCTAACAACCCAGTAGAGAAATGGTCAAAGAACACGAACCAGCAAGTTCACAGCCAGGAATGCCAGGGAAATGTCCATCTCTTCATAACAAGCACAGTGAGACTGCACCGACATGCCAGCCTCTCAGACTGGCAAAAATCCAAACACTTCACAACGCTCTGTGCTGTGACGGCACAACATGGTGACCTCCATCAAAACCACAGCTGCGTTCACCCTTTGATCTGGCAGTGTCACGTCTGGGGATTTGCCCTGTACCTGCACGTGTGTGAGGTAACACAAGACATTTATTCATTGTCGTGTTCGTAATCACAACAGTGAGTTTTCAGTGAAAGACCCACTCATCCGAGGAGGCTGGTTCTGTAGGCGATGCCGCCCCCAGGGGCTGGCATGGCAGGCGCTGGCTGTGGAGACAGGAAGCTGGCCGCCAGCCGCTGTGCGTGTCGCCGAAGGGAAGACGGGCGGGCGCAGGCCACGGCTGTAGTACTTTGTTAAGGAAAGGGTGGCTCGGTTTATATACTCATATTCACCTGTGTTTACGTAAAGGAACATGGGAAGAATAAATAGGAAACGAACGAGGTGATGCCTACAGTGGAGGAGTTACACAGAGTTGGGAGAGAAGCAAACCTGCACCGGTACCTTTCGGCAGTGTTTTGACTTTTGAGCCTTTAAACAGGTTTACAAATTTTAGAACATGTACGAAGAGGTAGGTCGAAGAGATAAACGTGTTCATATTTTCCCACCCATAACAAGCTTCTGACATGAGGATATTTAAAGTTATAAACCATTTGTGGGAAAGTGCACATCTGTGTACATTTAAATGTCTTGCCGGACGTGGTACGCGGGGACGGCGGTGCTGAGGGTTTGAGCACACGGGGACGCGCATCCAACTGCCCGGGGAACGTGCTGCCAAGTTGGGGAGGAACAGAGGCCCCGTGACCAGTGAGCAGAGTCCCTGCTCTGGTGTCGTCTCCGGCCCGATGGCTTTATGGCCACTGTTCAATCTCTGGTGTATAAACAGCCGCACAGCCCGCGTCTCTCCAGGCAGGTGCCCTGGCATCCTACGCCACGGTGAGTCGCCCAAGGTCTGCTTGCTCTGGTGCTGTCACCTGTGTGGGAGACAGTCCTCCCCTCCCAGCATCCTTCTCATCACCAGTGAACTCTGACTCTGGGGACAGGAAGCCAGCCCCTCACCCCGTGTGATTTCCCCCGTTCCCATCAGAGCATGAGCTGTGCATCCACTGGTGAACCTGCCAGGACCCACCACCAATTGGGACCTCATCTGATGTGTCACACGTGACGGCCTGTTAGTCTTTGTTCAACTGGCATCTTCCTGCTCCCCCATAGGCTGTAGTCTGCGTTAAGGAGAACAAAGGCAGCGTCTCTCCCTGCAGCATCCTTTGCCAGAACATTCCGTGGAGGACCCTGCCCTCGCCTTACGAGCTTACCCCAGGCCCGGGGTCCCGGCTCCACCTCACACCTGTCTGCAAAGCGCATGTTGGCTGCTGCCCCATCTCCTTGTTGGCTTCTCTTCTCTTCCTCTCCTCCCCTGTTAAGCACAATTCCCTGAAATCCTGAGACAGAAGAATCTTCTGCCGGGAGATTTAAAGGCAGGTCGGAACTGGTTTTGGTGTGTGTGGTGGGAAGCAGGCTTGCTTAGAAAAAGCCATTTCATGGTCACGCTTTTCCTCGCCTTTCCTTTCCTTCTTTTTACTGTGGCCTTACTATGTCACACCTGTGGCTTGATCAGGGGCAAAAAGAACAGACAAAACGAGGAAGGGAGGGCCCTTGGAACGTGGCTGCTCGGAGGACTGGCGGCGCCAGAGCCCGGGCGCCTCTGCGGTCTTGCCGCCGACCCTGCGCCTGCCGAGTGTCATCTGCCGGCTGCATTTCTGTGCCTTTGTGCTCGGAAGGCCTTCTTGTCTCTTCCCCATGACGAGGCTCTCCTCCTAGGTCGGGAGGCCACGGCTGGCACCCTTAGCAGGCGCGCAGCAGGCCACCTGCTCCCCGCCCGCGGCTGTGGACGGCAGGGCAGCTGGGCGGGCTGAGCACATTCTCAGCCAAGTCATAAACGCCACCTGCTAAGAATTAAGTGCAGGTAGACCGTGACAAGATGGCGTTATCGGCGGTCCCCCCCTGACCTGACAAACGCGTCGAAACAGCTTTTCCTACCACAAAACAGTGGCCAGACCCTGGTACTGAGGCCTGTGGTGTTCGTGTCAAGCGCTTGGACATGCGTGTCAGCTCCGTGGGGCGTGCATGTGAGCGTGTGGGCCTTGATGTGATGCGTTGGCCTCAGGCTTAAAGACAGCGGTGCCTTTATGCTCAGAATCGGGTCGCATCCCTGTTCCTGGGCCAGGCCTGACCAAGCGCTCTCCCGTCTCTCCCGCCTGAGTCTCTCAGGCAGGGAGGACATGTGCTGACGCCTTCCAGTTCCTGTCACAACCTTCATTCAAAGCCAGGAGTCCCTGGCGGGCAGGACTGAGAGCTGCAGGCGTCATCGGCTCCCCCACCCTGAACCCAGCACCCACCGCTCCTGACCTCCCACCCTCCATCTTCTCAATTCCCACTTAAATAGCCGCGTCCTTGTCAGCTTATCCATGTGAAGAAGAGACGCCTGGTTATCAGAGCTCCCCTGAGAAATGTGCCAGTGTCCACGGGGATTGGGGTTCAGGGCTGAGGAACCAGCAGCTCCCCGTGAGTGAGGGCTTCACGCAGGCAACGCCCCAAGCCAGGGGTCTCTGTGGAGCAGGAGTATGTCTCCGCACATGACCTCGCTCCTTTTATTCCAGAAACTCGGTTCTTAAAACCCTGGCCCCCGAGCCTCTTTAATGCCCTCATCCTCAGGAGAGGGGCATGCTGGGAGCTGACAAAACGTCACGGCTCTGTGGATGCCGTGCCCTGAACGTCACTAGTCAGCTTTTCTGGATATTGGTCCACGAAGCCCACTTGCATCACGACCACATTCGGGGGTCACCGTCTCCAAGTATCAGAGCCCCCGTAATTTGCATGCCACCCCCAGTTTTCAGGTCGCTCCTGCCTATTAGTTCAGTCTGTGAATCCCCTGGATGAGCGGACTTCTTAAACTGCCCTGGAGTCCCGCCGCTCGCCAGAGGAAGGTCTGCGTGAGGAGCTGGTTTCGCTCTGTGCCCTGCCTGCCTCTCCTCCTCTCCACCACGCGGAGAAACCGCCTCCCCAGCTGCTCGCCTCGGCCCGGAATGCCTGAGGCAGGGTCCCTCACGTCCCTTGAAAGAACCAGCACTTGCAGAAATGTCCAAAACCATCCAGCCTAGGGTGAAATCGGCCCGTAACCCTCCACCAGGATTCCTGACACCCCACTGCTTCGTCGCACCTGCCAGCCTCCTTCCTGGCACCTGTCCCCTCTTCCCCCGACCCCTGCAACTCGGTGGCCTTGGGTTCCCATGGACGTGCATGGACTTCTAATCTAGAAGCTGGGCTTGGCTCACGCTCCACACCTCAGAGTGTGCACCCACCTTCGTCTTGAAAGTGAGGTGCCTCTGATGCAGTGTACCCCAAACTGCGACACCCCACCTCCTGCCCAGGTCCCCCCAGAACACTGTCCTTGTGTCTGCGGGATCGTCCCGTCCCCTCTGCCAGCTGCACCTGCCCCCTTCGGGCCAGCCCCCGCCTCATCCTTCACTGCAGCTTCCAGCGTGACCCGACGGCCTCCACCTCTGGGCTGCGGCCCCTTCAGGGCCTGCTCGGTGCAGCGTTCAAGGCCCTGGGCCATCTGCCTCACACCGTCCCCAGCCCTCCCCACACCCTGCACCCTAGCAGGATGACCCCCCTTCCCCCCGTCCTCGCGCCTGCCCTGGCTCCGTGGGTGATCCCAGCCACTCGTCAGGTCGGGCGTCTCCTCCAGAAAGCACACACCCAACCCCCAGCCCCCGAGCCCGGTGCCCCCACCGCGTTCGTGACTGCTCACCCAGGTCCCTCCCCTCCAGGAGTTGAGCAGGGCACAGCTGCTGTGTCTCCAGAACCAGCCAGGGCTTGGCACCTGGCGGGTCCTCGGAATGTGTGCTGAGCCGAGGAGCACAGACTTGATGGCGCTCACCGGCGCCGTGCGAGCCCACAGGCTGGGAGGAACTGTACTCCCAGCTCTTTAGCGCTGAAGTGCAAACCTCTACCTGAGAGCCACCCCTTCGGGATAAGGAGCTGAGCCTCTAGGAAGCAGCCGATAAAATACAACTGTGTGACACAGTAATTCGTGATTATTATATTCACACATCATCATTTTTCAGTATTTTGTTAGTCCAACCAAGCAAAACCCTAAGACCTTCCACAGGGGTGAGGTCTGCGGAAACGGGATGGTTTCAAGGGCTGGGCGTGTCCCAGCTCAGAAGGCAGGAAGACAGGAGCATGGGTGACGGGAGGGAGGACGTGGGCGGAAGCTGCAGCGATGGCTGCGCCCTCCACAGGGGCGCCAGCAGCCAGGGCGCCCCCAGCCGTCAGGTACCCAACAAGGAGTTTCCAGAGCACACCGTGGAGCTGCTGCATTTCTGAGAACATGTGAGGTGCCAGCCCTGTCCCCACAGCCAGGGGACATGTATGTGCAAGCAGCCATCTCACTATTTTCTCACATGAAAATTGAACTTGAGAGGAGAGAGCAACAAAGGCCTAAGATACTCCTCGCACGTCCATTGGTTCATATGTGACAAGAAGCAGAGAGAGACCCCTTCAGGTAACCGCACTCTCACCTCTCCCTCTGTCTCTTCTCTCCCCAGTCGTGCCAAGCAGACCTGGTGAAGGACAACGGGCACAAGTACTTCCTTTCGGTCTTGGCAGACCCTTACATGCCAGTAAGGACCAAACGCCACTCCCTTTGGGACAGTCTCGAGACCTGGGTCATTTGTGTGTGCTCACGTGCCGCGCTGCCGTGGCGACTTTGCAAGGCCGCTGACCATCCAGGCAGAGGCCGCTCTGGGGCGTGGGCCACGCTTTGGGAACACGGTCACGCTTTCTGCCACCGCTTTGCTCACACAGCGCTCCCCACTTAGGAGCACACTGGCGGGAGCTGTCTCGCTTCTGTCTGTGCGTGAGCGTCCGGCCGCCGGCTGCTTCGGTCTGTTTCTGTCCGTCTGTTTTCCCCGGCACAGCCCCGCGTTGTGCCAGGACCTGCTCTCCTGCACACCTGTCGGCTGAGGCGCACGGGGAGGCGTGGGCGCCTCTGTGGCAGGGCAGCTCGCGCGCCTTAGAATCAGGAAGGGAGTTGGGGAGGAAAGAAGAGGCTGAAAGTTTACATTTAAAATGTACTTTATTATATGAAATTGCCTCACAAATTAGTATTCTATGAGTAGCATATATAATAACTCCTGTAAATGTTGTATAATTACTTCCTGTATTCCCCACCTCCAGCTCCTAGCATGGTCAAGAGCGCAAAGTACATGCTAAATTCAATTACGTGGAGCAGCCTGTCTACACGGGCTTAGGTGGCTTTAGTTGTATAAAGGAACTTTCATATGTAATTTAACCCTGTAGTTGGTTTTCTAAAGTCAGTGAGATTTAAAAAAACAAAAACAAACACAAAAACTGTAAACATTGAAAAAAGGACTGTCATATAAAAGGTAAATAGTCCTTGTGGTTCTAACTTAAGTGTGGCATTGAAACATCACTGTAGGCAGTTAAAGTTTATACTTTATATGCGTTTTGGAAGTAATCGCTTCCCTGTTCTTCAGAGTGAATAAGAAAACAAATCAAAGGAATGAAAAAAAAAATGCTAACGCAGTAAAATGCAGTGAAGTGATGAGCGTAGCCGACACGAGGGGCCTGCTTCAGCCACAAACACAGGAAGCTCTGAGGACAGAGCCAAGTGTAAGAGAAAGGGACAGACATTCCCAAACGCCCAAAACTGAAGAGAGGCGTCGGAGGAGAGCCACGGTGGGAAGCAAGCCAGGACGTCACGCGACCCGGGGGTCCCCGAGGCATGTGGACCCGAATCTGCACAGAGCACATGGGGCCCGAGCCGGTGACGTCCCCGAAACCGACACCGCTGCTTAGAGCCAGGCGCCCGCGAGGCGTTAAGTGGGGCGAGGGGAGCTGCTCCCTGTCCAGGCAGAAAGTTCAGGAAGCCTCCTAGGGAAACCGGGACCTCGGGCCTGTGCACACGTGGGGTGAGAGTCACCAGCCAAGAAATGGACGTAAAACCCGTTCCAGGAATTGAAACCCCGGGGGCCTGGGAGAAGCCAAGGCAAAGCTTTCTTCAGGGACATTCCACGGGGAGACACCGCCTGCTTCCAGCCCACCATCAGGCAAACCAGCACCAAGGGGGCAGAGCAGTCGGCAGCAGACTGGGCACTGAGAAGTGAAACTAACACACATGTCTGGCAAGGACTGAAGTCACAGGAATATTACATTTAAAATGATCGGATAAAATAATTTGTCTTAATTTTGTCCAAAAGTAAACCACTGTATTGTTTCTTTAGAACTACGTTTGTTCCTATTGTAAGAAATAATATACAGTAAAACCTGGGATCGTGAGTAACTTGGTTTGCGAGTGTTCCACAAGACGAGCAAACATTTCTAATACATTTTAATGTGGTAAACGAGCGGTGTCTTACAATATGAGTAGTTTGTTTCTGGAACAAATTATGCTCACAAACCAAGGTATTACTGTATTCTGTTTTTACTCATCCTCCAAATGACCAAGTAGATTCTTAGTGATTAGGCAGATTGGGGCGGGGTTGGGGGTAGTCATGGAGACACAGGGCACTGTCATTAAAAGCTCCCCAGATAAGTGAGCAGCAGCATAGATGCAGCCAGCGCGCGAATTGGTGGAGAAAGCACCTGGAATGAGACAGACAGAAGATGTGAGGGAGATCAGGAGACATGGGGTGAGAACGTTTCTGTTGCTAATAGAGTGAGCCTGGAGAGTCGGGAGCAGTGTGAACGAGTCATGGCTGAGGGTTTTCCGCATTTGAAGAAATGGGTTTTCAGATTTAAAAAGCACAGTGACGCTTGAGAAGGTTAAATAGAAACACATCCACCCAAAGAGTCATCGTAACGAAAGCAGAGACTATCGAAGGGAAAGGTGACGAGAACCAAAAGAAAGGTTTTTCGCAGAGGAGTAAACATGATTCCACGGGCTTTCCGTCAGCAGAGAGAGACGGCAGGAGAGGCTGTTTTCAAAGCGCTGGAGGAAGCCGGCCGTGACCCGAGCATTCTCTGCCCAGCTGGTGTCATCCAGACTGTGCGGGAAGCCCACATGTCTTCAGAGACTGACAGTTACCGTGTTGTACCCCCGATGGAGACAGTCATAAAGACCATCCTTCAGGAGGCAGCTAACCCGGAGGGAAGGCTCGGATGCAGGAAGCAGCCAAACGCAGACCCGCCGGCCAATCTCAATAAGCATTGGCTGTAAAATCAGAAACGCCCGTCACTGATCTGAGGGGTGAGGACGTGCAGAGGAATCAGAACTGGGGCACTGACAGCTCTGCATTAATCCGAGGGTGAGGGGCACCCAGAGAACCCTTAGTTTAGTGTTTGTTCAGTGTGGGAGTATCAGGCCCCACAGGCAGAGACAGACCGACCGAGTCGTAACTCAGTAGAGGAGAGGATGAGAGTTGATCCCTCCGATAGGAGACCAGAAAAAAGAAGCGAAGCAAAGGGAGGGTGGTGAATCCATTCGTTTCACTACCACGTGTGTGACCGGGGGCGACCCGGGCACTTCCTGGTAACAGGACAGCCTGTGACAGGAGACTCACAGCAGACCTGTCCCCGGCCTGTGGCGTCGGTCCCCTGAGAGGCCAGCCTAGAGCTGTCAGACGCTTCTGAAAGTGTGCTCCTCTTTGTGCTAATTAGTTGTGCATGCAGCTTCTTATTACGGCTCATTGATTATGCGTGGAGCTCATTCCGAAAGGCTGCTCTCTGTTGTGCTTGGGGGACGCTGCGTCCCCGTGGGAAGTGCAGCACTAGGGGTGTCCTGTTTTCCAGGCAGAACACAGGACCATGACAGCTTTCATCCTCGCTGTGATCGTCAACAACTACAACACGGGCCAGGTGAGTGTGTGGCCTCCCTGCGCCCGGGCAGGCGTGTGGCCCAAGCTGCTGTGTTTGGGGAGAGCCGGGGAAGGAAGCGGTCACCCTTAGGGTGAGGGAGGTGACCAGAGCACGCGTGGGAGGAGGAAGCCCAGGGCCCCGCGTTCAGCCAGCCGTTCGCAGGGTGAGCCGAAGGTGGTGGGATTTAAACTGAAGACATGATCAAGGTTCCCCGAGAACCGTCGGGGCCGTGACCGTCGCCCGCGGCCGGCACCCCTCCCCGGGCGTCTCCGTGCTGGCCCACCGAGCCGTTCGCCTTTCCGCAGGAAGCCTGCCTCCAGGGAAACTTGATCGCCATCTGCCTGGAGCAGCTCAGCGACCCCCACCCCTTGCTGCGCCAGTGGGTGGCCATCTGCTTAGGGCGCATCTGGCAGAACTTTGACTCGGCCCGATGGTGTGGCGTGCGGGACAGCGCCCACGAGAAACTCTGCAGCCTCCTCTCGGACCCCATACCCGAGGTGAGTCCGTCCCCAGCCAGTGGCTCCCGGCGAAGAGCGGTCATAGCTGGCGGGCACTCCGGACACCGTTGAAGGGGCAGCGTGGGGACTGCCCTCTCATGCCGCCTCGCGTCCAGAAGCGTCCCCCTCCACAGCCTTCCCCTAAGCCCCTGTCTCAGTCACTGATGGGTGACGGGGTGCCTGGCTTGGTGTATTGATCCCAGAAGTTCCCGCCTGTGCAGCCCGTCACCAGCCCCTCAAGCTGGGACCACGGGGGTCCCTCCTCCTTCCCCTCCCCCATTTCTGCTCCGTTCTCACGGGTAGGACTGGGCAGTGAGCACCCGTGAAACTCGACTGAACTGGGTTGAATCTGGTGGGAGTTCAGACCCAGGCGGCCAGCATGGGTGGGGCTATGACACTGCTGTCCCCGTCCTGCAGGTGCGCTGTGCAGCCGTCTTCGCGCTCGGCACGTTTGTGGGCAACTCCGCAGAGAGGACCGACCACTCCACCACCATTGACCACAACGTGGCCATGATGCTGGCCCAGCTGATCAACGACGGGAGCCCCGTGGTCCGGAAGGTACGTGGCCCCCGCGCTGCGCCCGGGTCAGCCCGTGGCTCTGCCCCCAGCAGTGAGCACGCAGTTCCCACCAGCCAGCATCCTGAGAGTGGACCTTTCAATGTTGGCTTAATTCTCCAAAATGCATTTCTTCCCCCAGATACTCGTGTGTTTGCTTCATTTAAGGGCATTTAGCAGGCTGTGTCTCCTGGCAGCTTTAAAATAGGCTCCTTCCTGCCTGGGAGCGACACATGCACACCTCATGGAGACTAAAGAACATAGATACACAGAACACAGGCAGACGGAAAGGTGTGTGGTGTGTGTTCCCCTCCCCGCCCCCACGTTTGTCAGCGACTCAACAGAACAGTTTATAAAGTTGAAAACTCTTGTCTGTTTAAAAGTGTAGAAATATCATGGATTTCCATCCGAGATCTCACACTCCTCCCAAAAGTTGGCTCAGCACAACCAGACACCCTCCTGTCCCCGGTCACCAGGGCCATCGGGGGACCCTGCTGGTTTGCTGGCTGTGAAGGCTGAGCAGCCAGGAGCCCGGGCAGCGAGGGGCCAGGTGAGGCTGGAGCCTGGCGAGGCAGGAGGGGTGAGGCTGGAGGGCAGTGGCCGCCAGCCCCCAGGCCAGCGTGGCTGGAGCGTGCCTTCTGCACAGCACCAAGTGCTTCAGTCACTCTTTGCACAAATGGTGAGTGTCTTTCGCGTTCCAGGCACAGCACCATATCAGGCCTGGGGACCTTCGCTGCCCTCGCTCGGGGAGTCTGTGCTCTAGGGGGACCCAGCTGGCCAACAGTGGCCCTGTTAAATGAGTCGATGGGGTGACCTTGGCTAAGGCACGTGGGAGACGCAGAGGTGTGGACGGGGAGCAGGCGGTGGGCGGAGAGGCACCACCTCTAATAACAGCAGGACGCCTCCTTGAGACGGAGCCTTCGTCCTCTGTACAGAGTCCTCATGCTTCTGGAAGCGCATTTTCTCCTTGTTCACAGCCGTGTGCTGATGCTGTCATGGCACTCTGAGGGAACACAGGCGCAGCCTGCTGGCCCAGGAGACCAGCGCCGGGGGGCCGGAAGGCCCTGAGCTCGACTCAGACCTGGCACCGAGCTCTGGGGGCTGACCTGCCCCTTCACAGCCCCTTTCATGTGGGGCCTCATTCTGGGACGCCAGCTCTGGGGCCAAGAACGGGCTTTGACGTGTAGTCTGACCAGCTCTGGTGTTCAGCAGCTTGTGCAGAATCAGACAAACACGGCTGTTATGGCAGGCTTTTCATGGTCATATGTATTCATATAAAAAAGGCTACATCCTTTGTTTTTTTTTGGTTTTTGGTTGTTTTTTTTTTAAAACTAAGAACTGGATTTTTTTTTTAAGATTTTTATTGGGGAATTGGGGAGGGGAACAGTGTGTTTTTCCAGGACCCATCAGCTGCAAGTCAGGTTGTTGTCCTTCAGTCTTAGTTGTGGAGGGCGCAGTTCAGCTCCAAGTCCAGTCGCCGCTTTCAATCTAGTTGCGGGGGTTGGGGGTGGGGGGAGAGGCGGGGTGCGTGCAGCCCACCATGGGTGAGTCAAACCGGTAATGTTGCTAAGAACACGTGCTCTCACCAGCTCAGTGGCAGCTCGGCTCGGGCACAGCTCACTGGCCCATGTGGGAATCGAACCGGCGACCCTGTTGCTCAGAGTTCGCGCTCTAACCAACGGAGCCACTCGGTGGGCCCACTACAACCTTTGTTTTAATAACAAAAGTATCCTCTCATAGATGAGGCGATAATGAGAACAGAGGGTCTGATTTTGTTTGTTGACTTGTTTAATGAGCTCACTTGATAAAATCAGAGTCAGCAAATTCCTGTCAGCCTCCCTAATCACTTCGAACTTGACCTTGTCTACTAAGTACAAAATCCAGACTGCCCAGTCAGCAGCCGCCCCCACTCATCAAGAATGGCCCGGCCAGGGGTGCAGGCTTGTGCCCCCCCAGCTTCCATCCACACCTGTTTCTCAGCCTGACTGGGGAGCGACACGACACAGGGACCCCGCCTCCCTTACTCGCAGCTTCCCTGCTGCCATGACCTTAGCAAGGAAAGCGGAAGGCGTGTGTGTCACGTGTGCTCGGACCACAGACCCACGGGGTGCTGATCTGCCCTGAGAACAGCTCTGGGCGCCCACCCTCCGTGCCCACACGCCTGACTCAAAGCAAGACTGATGAAAACATCAGGGGCTGTTCTCTATCGGCACCCTGGTACCCAGGTCTCTGGGAGACGATCGGGGTCCACCCGCCAGGGCCAGGGCGCCTTCTCCCAGAGGCGAGCCCGAGCGTGTCCACGTTGGCACAGACGCACGCCCTCCCCAGCGCTGCTCTGTCCCGCTGCGGTTGCAGGCCGAGTGTGACGCTCTGTGACCGGGGGCCGCAAAACAAAGTCACCAGTAGTTTGGTGCTGGAAACATGGAGTGGGGGCTGCCCCGGGGAGGAAACGGGGCGGCGGCTGCCGCGCAGAGGCCGCAGGGAGGGCCTGGAGGGTGCGTGGCCTGACCTGCCATGTGACCACAGAGGAGCGCTGGCTGAGTCCCCTTGGGGCAGTCGTGTGCCCAGGCATGGTGTCCCAGGACCCTGTGGCAACTCGCTTTAAAAATGGAGCATGAGTTGATCATCTGTGAAGGGAAGGGCTTCATTCTTGCAGCAGGCAGCTGTTACCCCTCCTGTGAGCTGGGCTGGTGGCCCAGCCGTGAGCCGAGCCCTGACTCTTCCCTGGAGAACATGTGCTTGGAAGTGGGGTAGCTGGAGCCCGAACAGGCGGATGAGTGACGGGGCAGGTGGCTGGCGGATGAGTGACGGGGCAGGTGGCCGTGCTCGGGAGGGAAGGCAGTGGAGGAGGGGGGCAGGGCGCAGGGGGCGTCTGAGCGGAGGCCCGAGAGAAGCAGGAGGGTGAGCCGGGGGCAGCGGGGAGGCCTTTCCGGGCAGCGAAACAGCAGGACCGTGGTACAGATTGGTGTGTTCCTGGCCCGCGGTGAGCTGTTTCACTCTGCATCGAAGTAAAGGGGAAACCAGTGCTTTCTGAAGACAGTACCGGCACCACCTTCACTCGGTGGGGCCGACGGGACCATCTCAGCAGCACGTCACTGCCTCACGCATGGAAAGCGAGCTGGGCTCTGGTTTGCAGGAGGAGCATGGGACCAAGTGCCAGGCTGGGTGTGGGCAGCGGCAGGCAGAGGCCGGTCGGGCGCGAAGGCTCGGCGCAGTTAGCCTCGGGGACCAATGGCGGGAGGCGGGGCTGGGCACACAGGGTTGGGTCTGCACAATTCAGGGTTCTCACCTAAGCAGTTGGAGTTCTGGCTCTGGGCACCAGCTGAGAGGTCCCTGGCAGGGCAGACCGGCAGACTGCGGGGCAGGCTGAGGCCGGGGTCCGCGTGCGTGCTTGGGTGGAGATGCCCGGCCAGCAGTGGGGAGCGCCAGCCTGGAACTGAAGAGAGAGGGGTCACAGCAGAGTAGCCTCAGGGGCAGTCCACAAGCGCCACAAGGAGGCCTGGGAGTGTGTGAGGTTGAGGGGGGAGAGACACTCGAGGGGGGTCAGCGATGAGAGGACCTGGGGGCCGGTCCGGAGCCTGGCATGTGCGGCCACCGCGGTCACCTTGGCACCTCAGCACAGCCCTCCTGGCCTCGGGGGCTCCCTCACAGGCCTCAGCTCACTGCTACATGGTTTTCAAAAAAGAGATGAGGCTGGAGCTGGATGAAGAGCGCTGGGAGCGTCGTCTGCACCAGCACCCCCGGTTTGTCCCCTGACTCATTGTGTCCAGGCACTGGCAGCGCAGCACGTGTCGATGCCCCGAAGGAGACGCACATCGTCCCCTGTCCTTGGGCTGAGGCAGCGGGGTCTAAAGACCAGATAGACCTTCCTTCTTGCTTTTTAGCGACTGGAAACTAGTACAGCTCTGCGAGTTTTGCATTTGGTTGAGATGCATTTAGTTGCGAGAGCGTGCTGGACTCATCAGACGTGACTTGCTGTCGTGCCAGAGGCCAGCTGGCTGGCCACGTGGGGTCTGCGGGAGGCATTGTCAGCCCGGGTCACGGTCCTGACCTTCCCAGTCTAGAGGGGCGTCACACCGTGTCCCTCCACCGTCTTCCGCTGTGCCGCTCACGCCTACCGGTCGGCAGGCACTGCCAGGGTCCCGGTGCCTTCCTGGGGGCCCCGTCATGGCCGGTGGCCCCGGATCCGTGACCTCACTCGCTTGTCCAGAGGCCTCTGCCCCCACGGGACGCTTCTGAGCGCTTCCCTGAAAGGACAGTCCCTGTTGCTGACACTGCGCACAACGTTTCCTCTTAACCTTTGTTTTTTCTGCGGTGACTCGAGCATCCGGCGATACCGTTTAAGCCTCGTCCCCCAGCCGCCAGTAACTGCTGTTGTCCCTTCTCCCCCGCAGGAGCTGGTGGTGGCTCTGAGTCATCTCGTGGTTCAGTACGAAAGCAATTTCTGCACCGTGGCCTTGCAGTTCATGGAGGAGGAGAAGAACTACCCCTTGCCCTCCCCGGCGACCACAGGTATGGCGTCCTGACCGTCTCACCTGGCCTCTGGCGGACCCGGGACCCTTCCTCACAACTGTCAGCGGCCCCTCAGTTTTGCCAAGACCTGGGCTCAGAAGCCCAGTGCTGCCCGTGGCCGGGGATTCTCGGCTTCCCAGCATTGAGCAGAACGGAAGGGCAGGCGAGGGGCTGCACTGGCCCTCTGACTTCTTTTCTTCTCACCCTTTTTGGGAATCAAGTTTGTGGAAATGTGTGCGGTAGGGGCTTAGAGAAGAGCACGTGGCCCCTCCTGTGATGAGTAGTGTCACGTGCTGTTGGCCTCGCGGCTCGGCGAGTCACGTCAGGCAGCTCCTTTGCTCACGTTGGCCTTCGTGCCAGCTTTCTGTTTCACCCCCCGGAACACAGCTGTCTCTCCAGGAAGGAGCTCGTGCTCCGTGATGAAGGCGGCGCCCCCTCCAGTGCCTCCGGGAGGGGAAGCGGAAATGAACGCTTCAGTGGGGCAGCTGCTGTGCCGGAGGGGGGCACGGAGGCAGCAGACGGGGTCCTTCCAGTGCCAGCTCACACGGCCCCAGGGCCGCCGGAGAGGCCGCAGTGCCGGCCCTGCTACGCGTGGGCTTCCGTAGCTGAACGCTCACCAAGTGACAGACGTGGGGTGGGGTCACTGCCCCTTACACCTCCCCTCCCACCCTGTCATTGCTCGTGTGTCAGAGCTCCTTCCTGAGTCGTAGGGTCCTGCTGGTGGGAATGGCTTCGTCTCCTGTCGTGGCCGCCAGCTAAAAGGGAGTGTCTGTCCTCCCCGGAAGCCCACCGTGAACTCTCTCTCCTTCTTTCCCACTAGAGGGGGGCAGTTTGACCCCCGTGCGGGACAGCCCCTGCACCCCCCGGCTTCGCTCTGTGAGCTCCTACGGAAATATTCGCGCTGTCACCTCAGCCAGAAGCTTGAACAAGTCTTTGCAGAACCTGAGCTTGACGGAAGAATGTGAGATTCGGGAGACCGGGCCCTTGGGTGGGTTGGCTGTGTTGGGGGCTGTATGTCCCCTCTCTGTGGTCAGTGTGTCCCCGCCTCACCTGGCAACTGTGGGTCAGCGCCCGCAGTAGCCCGTGGGCCCCGCGCAGGCTTGCAGGAGGGTCCTGAGCTCCCCCGGGCCCTGCCAGTGGCCTGACGTCTCCCTGGCGAGCAAGGGCTTGGCTCCAGAGGAGCTCAGTGCCGGGTGAGACGGGAGCACACGTTTCAATCATTTGCCGCTAATTGTGGGACCAGAGGCGGGGCCTGGGCGCTCGGCACTGATCCCCGTGTGGTGTCCGGGCAGCCGGCAGCTCGGTGGCATTCTCCCCCGGGAACCTCAGCACCAGCAGCAGCGCCAGCAGCACCCTGGGCAGCCCCGAGAACGAGGAGTATATCCTGTCCTTCGAGACCATCGACAAGATGCGCCGTGTCAGCTCCTACTCCGCCCTCAACTCCCTCATTGGTGAGCGCCCTGCCCTGCCCTGCCCTCCCCCCAGCACAGCATTCGCCCCACCCCCCAACACAGCGCGCGGTGAACGCCCGGTAAACTCCTGCCAAAACTGTCTCGGTCGGAAAGTGATAGGAGTGTTTTGGTGTCGGCAGTGTGAAAGCCTCAGTCACTTTGATTCTGACCTGATGGCATTTGACAGGCTGTCCCAGGGCTGTCCCTGGCCAGCTGCGCCGTGTGGGAGACCTTCCATCAGTCTCTGTGGTGCTGAACTCTGTGCCAGAGAACAGAGTCTCTGAGCCGGGGTGACTCTGCCCCCAGGAGACGTTTGGGTTGTCACGGTGGGGGCAAGGCAGGGGCTGCCACCATCTGACAGGCGCAGGGCCACCCTACAGCACCCCACACCCCCACACCCCACACCCCACTCCCCAGAGAATGGGACAGTTTGTATAAGACAAAGGGTGTGTGTCCTTGGGCGTCAGGGCAGAACTGGCCACGCAGAGCTTTGTGGGTCGGTTTAAATCCCGATTCCACTTCTTTGATGGTGGCAGGAGTATTCAGGTGGCCTGTTTCTTTGCAAGTTAGCTTCGTTTGACATGTTGTATTTTTAAGATGTTGTCCATTTCACCTAAGTTTTCTCATTTATTTCCACGAAGTCATGCAGAATGGTCTCATCACCCTAATCTCTGCTGTCTCTGTAGATAGTATCCTTTTCATCCCTACGATGCGTTTGCTTTTTCTCCTTTTTCTTAATTAACCCTCCACAACTTCTGTTATTTCTGTAGTGTTTTCAGCTTTTGCTTTGCTGGTTTAGGGCACTGCTATTCCTTTATGTTGTGCTCCAGGGACTTCTTATCTTTGTTCCCTTTCTTCTTCTGTGGTTTACTCCCTTGCTCCATTTCAGCTCTGCAGCTGAAAGTCAGACTGGCTCCTGAGCCTCCAGCCTCCTTCCCGCTCTCGTCCGAGTATTTAGTTCTGTGACCCTCCCAGCAGCGCCCGTCTGACACCACGTTCAGCTCTGAGCTATTTGCTGGTTTCCCTTATGCCCCCTCAGCCTTGGAGTTCACACTCTGTCGGCGTCGTGTGGTACTGTCAGCTGTTTCTGGCTCCGTCCTCCATGTTGGTGTCATGGTCTCGGGGAGGGGGGGGGCAGTCCAGACGCACTGGCCAGCGGCCCCTGGAGGGCTTGTGCGTTTGGTTGGTTGTTGAAATGTTGCAAGTGCCAGAGGCACCGAGTTTGCAGCAGCGTGAGTACAGGCACTGCTACGTCACCAGTACAACAGGCTGTGCCTCTGGAGGTGTTTGTTTTGAGCCGGAATCCGCTATTTTAATAGAATTAATTGTAGGTAGTGGTAACGCCCCCAGGCTGACCCTCGGGAGCCTTTGAAAACGTAGGTCTGTGTGAGCCTGTTCTGTCCCTGTTTCTACTGAGACACCCACATGGGAAGAATGTTAAACGATGGCCAGCAGCAGTAGAGCTGTGCCGTGCTGTCAGTCACGCGGCTCTCCACAAGCCCCGCCCAGCCCCTGCGTCCCCTCTGCGCCCCCTCTGCGCCCCTCCTTCCCGCCCCAAAGTCAAGGTGACCGCTGCCTTCCAACATCACGGTAGCCAGAGGCCCTGACAGTGCGAACTTCACACTGGCGGCTGGAACAGCCTCACCGCGCAAAGGCAGCTTAGACAGCGTGAGCAAACGGACACGGCCGTGTTCCAGTACAGCTTTATTCGGGCTGAAGAGACAGCTCATAAAGCGCCCACATGTCACAAAACATTCTTTCTTCTGATCTTTTCCCAACCACTTAAAAAGTATAAAAACCCGGGCAAGCCGCCCAGAAAGCAGCAGCCGACAGGGTTTGACCTGACCACAGCTGGCCCCCAGACCCGCGGCAGCCAGGGTGCCCAGGAGGCCCTGCCGCCTGCCCCCCAGGGCCCGGGCTGGCCCTGCGACGGGAACCGAGAACCTTCTCTTCCTGCTGTTTCTCATTTGCTCATTCAGCAGATATTCTGTAAGCGCTGTGCGCACCCGGCGCACATGGGGTGGACGAAGCGAGGGTTTGAGGGCCGCAGCCTCTGCAGCTGCTGTTACCGGCCCGGGAACCCCGTCCTTCCCCGAGAAGTGCGCGTCTTCCCCACATGGCCGCGGCCCCTCCTCCCTCGCCCCACATCCAGTCTTCAGCCCCTTCAGAGCGCCAACAGCGCCTCTCCCGCCAGCCTCCCTGCTGCTCCCCCAGCCGAAGCCTCTTCGCAGGCGTGTGGTGGTTCCGCAAACTGGGCCCCCTGCTCCCGCCCTGCGTACATCCTTCCACGTCACAGGCATCTAGGTGAGGTGTCCAATGCCACCCTGTGTCCTAAGGGCACCCTTAATCCACTTTGCAGCCCTCCGTTCCCACACACAGCTGGCCATCAAGTTGAGAATCAATAGTCAAACCTGGCTGCCTGCGCTTGCCGAAACGCGGTGCCCTCCCATTGTCAAGTGCGACCCACAGCCGAGCATTAAAACCACGTCCTCATGGGACCGTTGAGAACCCCCATCCGAAGGTCCCATCTCCTGCGGCGTCCCCTCCCTCTGGGTGGCTTAAATACCGTGTGGCAGGCAGGCTCCAGGAGCTGGCGCAGGCGGAGAGGGTGCATTGCAGTCCTGGTGTTTCCGTTGCTAACTGGCTGGTCCCGTGTTTGGTGCTGTGCGTCTGAGGTGCTCCCAGGGTGGGGACATGTGGCCCGGCCCCTGTCGGGACACAGCTCTCTAGTGAGTGAATATCAGTTTCATCCTCAGTACTGGACTGGGGAAGGTGGTGGCCTTGGCGGTGTCAGCGGTGCAGACTCGGTATGACCTTGAGGCCACGTCAGGTTGGACAGCACAGATCCCTTGTCCCATGAGCCAGTGGGCTCGGCGGCCCCGCCCCCGCCCTGCCCGTGCTGTCTCCGAGCTGAGAGCCTCATCACCCGTCACTCTTGAGCAGAAAATCTGGGTCCTAGACGTATTTGCAGCAGAAAACCGATTGTTATCTTCATGTCATTCAAATCTTTGAAAACTTGAGGGGAAACGTTCAAAATGAGCCGGACTTGGGAGTGTTCAGAAGACAAACCAGCCGTGTGCGAAGCCGGCTCATCCCAGTTTGGTGAGACAGCGCCCACGCCCACCCGAAGCCGGTGCTCACGTGAGAGTTTAAATTTGTGACCCGCACAGACGCCCATCCAGCACGCGCAGCACTCGCCTGTTCACAGCCCGTTATTTCTTTCGTTTCAACCCAAGAACAGCAACCTCTGCAGCCTCTTTCACAGGATAGCATGGAAGAGGTTTCCAGAACCAGGGCGACGTCCGTGAGTGCCGTCTTTCCCCACAGAACCTGAGCTGACTCCCCGAGGTGGGAGTGGAAATGGGGTGAGGAGACGCCCTGACACTGGCGTTCAGACATCAGGGCCCCTGTGGTGCGTCTCCTCACTGCCCTCTGCCGATGCCCCGCCCTCCCTGTGGCGTCACATGTCGCACTCCTCCTAGCCCTGCGGCCAGCTGAGAGCCTTTCCCTCAAGGGGCAGCGGCAGCCTGTGCTCCGTCTGCCCCATCACTCTGCTTCTTGGTGGGAGTCTAGTCCCAGCCGTGCTGACGGAGCCAGGCGGGACTTCGTATCTGTTTTGGGGGCTCAGGACAGAGGGACGGGATGACAAGTGCATGGGTTTTCCTGCCAAAGAACCCCCATCCCCAGAACACTTGCAACAACACGTATCAGAGGCCCAACTTTCACGTGTCTGCTAAACTCAGTGACAGTTTGTAGCTTTTAAATTATGTTGCCATGGCGATGAGTCCATGACGGAGCTGAGGCTGGCAGGGAAGCCCAGGATCAACCTCCGCGCCCATCCAGAGCCCTGCCCTTCACCAGCTGCGTGCTCTCCCGACGCCCAAACCGAGATCTGGTGTGAGGCTGGCTTCAGGTACTGACTGCTCCCCACCCAGACTTTGGGGGTCAGAACGACTCCCCTCAGACAGAAGATAGGAGCGGGGACCAGGCTGGGACCCCGAGTGCTACCCAGATGACCGAGGCCAGCGGAGCAGAGCCATTCTCCACCCAGGCCTCTGGGAGCTGAGCGTGTCGTGTATCCATGGACGAAAGCATGGCCGGCGGGAAGCAGCCTGTCCCTGCCTTTCGTCCCCTTCCTTTGCGAGGCACCAAGAAGCACTGGCAGCAGCGTCTCCGGGAGGCCCCATGCCACTGGGAGATGCCAGGCCTGAGCTCTGGGTTTCGGGTAGAGGATGGAGGTGCTTGTTTCTTCAGCTTTCCTTCAGGAACTGGAGGAAAACAGAGCTCGGTCAGCAAGGAAGATGGTGGGGACCAGCGCACCTGAGGGAAGGGACAGGTGGTGAAGTCCTGGGCAGCGCTTTTATCCGGCGCCACAAGACTGATTGTTTTCATAGCCGTCACTCAGTGTACCGCAGGGGCACTGAGTAACACCACTGAAAGGGTCACACGGACATGCCGGCTCCCCCAGCAGCGGCTCCCCCAGGAGCCGTGTCCTATCCTTGGGTCCCCTTGGCACTGGGATAGGTCCCCGCCTCCAGCAAGCAGAGGGGGGATGTGAGTGGCGCCCAGTGACACGAGGGTCACCACAGAGGGGCCATCGCAGCAGCCCAGGTCCTGGGCACTGGCTCCTGGAGGGGGTGGGGGCTCTCAGCCCATGCCCCCGACCGCATTGGAGTCAGTGACCCCAGGAAGCAGGTGACGGGCAGCAGCTCCCGCCTCCAGTGGAACTTCAGGCTCCTTGCTCCGAGCTGCTCTGCCAGCCAGAGGACGCCTGGGACCCAGAGCTGCCACAAAGCTCTGAGCAAATTTCCCTTCATCGTATGCTATTTGGAAAGTTGTGGACATTGCTCTGAAAAATAAGTCCTGAAACCATTGGTTATAATCTTTTATTACTTTTAGTCTAGACATGAAAATAGGTTCTTAGTGCTTCTGGGGAGTTCAGTGAGTGCCAGACAGGCGCCCTTTCTGCAGATTTAACAGCCACACGCCCCCTGGGACCCTGTCCCCTGAGGGGCCGCTCCCAAGGGCTCCACTGTCCAGATTCAAAATGTCCTGACAGGAGACAGCAGATGGACAGCGGGTCAGCCGTATTACCGAAAGGCCGCAAGGAGCTGTGGTGCCAAACCAAGGCAGGCAGTGAGGTCAGGGCACGATGGCGCACCCCAGTTTGATGTTTTTACTGGTACATGGCTACGCCGTTCACTGTGGTCAAAGACGTGGACGAAAATGCGACCTTATTCCCTACAGAATCACAAACTGTCACATCTCACAGAGGAAGTCTTCTGCAGGAACATCAGCAATAGTCACAGCACTTGTTTCTAGGAAAACCATTATGACAGTAACGTGTCCGCCCTGTGGTGTGCAGCACGGCCCCCTTCACTGGGGCGGACCCACGCACTTCCCCCCGGGCCTGCTGCTGCCACCCCCACGTGACAGCTCGAGGTCACACAGCGGAGAAGGGGCGGCACTGGGGCCCCATGCACCACCCTGCACCTTCCCTCACATCTGCACCAAGGGCACCACCGACCAGGGGCCTGTCTGCTGGGTCAGCTCTCGGATGACTGCGGGAACCGGGGCTCCACGCTGGTGCCCGTCCCTCCTTGGGCATGAGTGTCTCCCACCACCACCCCCAGCACCCCCACCGTGTGCTAGGACAAGGGTCCGTCAGGCTGAGATTCACCACGCGTCACGTCAGCACCACTGTCCCATCACGGCTCCCTGTCACATGACGGCCACGCTTCAGGGAAGCTGCTGCCATGTGTCCTCTGAGCCCAAGAGCGGTGGGGAGGAAAATCCACATGGCGGCCGTGATGAGCTGGAGTCACCGTGAGAGCATCCCAAGTGGGCTGGTGGTGGCGAGGGGCCCCCTCCTTCGCCGCGGGGCTCCCTTTCTGTGAGAGCTGCACGTGGAAGCGTGTCACCTGTCCCTGCACAGCTGTCCTGCGAGCAGACTCAGAGTGATGTCCTCCTGCCCGCCGCCGCCTCTTTAAAAGACAGAAATGTCAGTTGTCTGCTGGTCCCCACGTGATGGAACACTGTTCCGATCGGCGAGCCATCTGCAAGGACGGAAAAGTAGATCGTAGGAAATTTCCCAGAGGTCCTGGACCAGTTTTGCCCATTTCCTTAGACTTTGGTCGTGAATCCGGACAGCATCATGGAGACGTGAAGTTGGAAAGCTGGGAGGCTTTTGTGCTGTTTCTAAACGGAAAGGTGCAGGAGAACGGCCTGTGGTTTACGTGGATCAGTCACCGGAGCATAGGGTCCCCTGAAGGGGAGAGCGAGTTTGCCGGACACATTCCCCTCACGAGTCCAGGCGTGCCCTGGGCCAGAGCTCTGGAAATGCACCCCTCCTGACTCCTCGTCGGCACGAAGCCCCCCACCTCGCACGCAGGAAGCACCCAGAGCTGGCTGCTGAGTGCACGCGTGGACGAGTGGGGCACGCCGGGGACAGTTCCTGGAGAACCTTTCCTCTGGCCGCAGGACAGCCCCTCCCCCAGCGCTGCTGTTCCAGGCCCAGCCCCCACCTGGGCAGCTGGGTTTCCGCGTCATCACCTGGAGACCGAGGCAGCTGCCAGCACATCTTGGAACTGTGGCTGGACTGGCGCTGCCCACACGCTGGTGTGATAAAGCCCCTGGAGGACTGTGCCGAGCCCTCCTTGGGGTGCGGTTTTCATAGTGTGACCTCGGGAGGGCGGCCGGGCCCCCGAGCTGAGGGTGGGTCTGCATGACGCGCTGTCACTCTGCGGACGTCAGGTGAGCTTGCACAGGCGCCCACTGGGCACGCGGAAATCCACTCTGTCCCAGGTTAATGGAGGAGCAGCGATGCCACCTTTCGTTTACAGATTCGAGGTGTCGGTTGAGGTGAGCTCAGGCCCAGCCGTGTGCGTCTGCGTGGGGCTCACGCACGGAACTCTTACTCCAAACCTTCATCTGGTCTCTTTGCTTCGAATGTGTCATATAAAACCCACTTTGTTTGAACAATCATGTTCACCAAGAAACACTGTCCTCCGACGGTACTTGTGATGTTCACAGTCCTTGGTAAACGCTGGAAGGGGCCTCGCTGCGGGTTGACCGGTCAAACAACCTGGCTGTCTCCCTGTCCCCTGCTTCACCCCAGGGACGCGTGAGGGCGCCATCAGCACCCGCTGTGCCCGTCCACGCCACCCTCCCCAGCCAGCCTTTGCTCCGACGGCTCCCTCTGCCAGCCTGTTTCCCATCTCTGCCCGTCCGTCCAGATCCAACATGGCTCGGACATCAGTTCCACGGCCCCCTCCTCCCAGGGGCACGTGTCCCCACGCCTGGGAGCTGCTCAGCCCGCTGCCACCACCCCAGCGGCATCTCTGATTTGCATGTCCAGCTGCGAGTCGGGCTGTTTGTCTGAACACACGTGTCTCCCTCACCTCCATGCCTGGGCTCAGTGTTACTCCACTGGCCGTCCCTCTGCCCCTTCAAGCCCCCCTGTGCCCGCTGGTCAGGCCTTCTGGCCATCACCTGCGGCTGGAACTGCAAGAATCTGACAGCACGGAGCAGGGTTCACGGGGCCGGGCCTCGGGAACCCTTCCTTCCTCCCTCCATTGCCACGACTTCCATCACGTGTTTCTGTCCTGTTTGCCTGGGCACCGGGCACTGAGTGTAGAGAACACTCAGGCATCGCCGGAGGGCTCAGGTCACATCACGCACACCCGTCGTGCTTTACTGGGAGTTGGGGACCATGCAGCATGTGGTGTGTGGGCAAAAGACTCAGCGAGTCGCAGAGCCCAGAGCCCCGCTGCGCGTGTCGTGAGTGTGGACTGCCTTCCATCGTGCAAGGCTCACTCGGTCATGGCGGCTCCCAGAAATCTAAATGTGAATCGAGCACCGCTGTGTTTGCTGGGTGTGCGCCGGGCTGCTCAGACACTCGGGTGAAGTCCTGCCTTTTCTGACTCCCTTCCTTCTAGAAAGACCCAGCCTCAGAAGAGGAAATCGTGTGACCGAACCTGTGCACTGGCTGGGATCCCTGACTCTGGGCCTGTTGCCAGAACAGGGAAATGGGGCTTCCCCCCCTGATCGCACGGGCAGGTTTCCAGGAAAGGGGCCGCTGCAGCGGCCGTGGCAGCTGTTTGCTCCTGAGACGTGTCCCGTTTCTCTTTCCTAGGAGTTTCTTTTAATAGCGTGTACACGCAGATGTGGCGAGTCCTGCTGCACCTGGCCGCGGACCCCTACCCAGACGTTTCCGACCTGGCCATGAAAGTGCTCAACAGCATTGCCTACAAGGTACGTGGGCCCGGCGTCCTGCACGACGCCCGCAGCTGCGCTGTCAGTCACGAGCGTTCAGGCGGGGACGCCGGGCATGTTCAGGTCCCCCCACGGCTTAGCAGACCAGACATTCACAAGGCCCCGGAGCTCTGCCTCCGCGTGGGGCACGCTTCACGGCGTCCGCCTCCACGTGCCAGGGCGCCAGGAAATGAGGTGAGGCCGCCATTCTTGCGATCCACTCACCGTCTGTACGACCTGTGATGATGTTTCCCTTTCATTCCTGGTACCGGTAACTCGCGACTTCTCTTATCGCGACCATTCTGGCTGAAGGAAGCTCTTTAAAGCTCCACCTTTTGGTTTCATGACTGTTTCTCTGTTGTTTTTCGTTTTCCATTTCATGGACACCACTATTTTCGTTACTTCCTTTCTTCTGTTTACTTTGGGTTTTATTTGCTCTTCCGATTCTAATTGGTAAAGATGGAAGCTCAGGTCATTGCTTTTAGTCCCCTCTTTGGGGCGTGTAGACTCTCCCTGTCCTTCTGAGCTCTGGGCACTATTTGTGCTTCCGGCGGTCCTTTCGCCTGCCTCGTGGGTGTTCACCCCGCCCACGGGCAGAGACTCAAGGGGCCCCCCTGCAACCCTGGGAAGCCCTGTGGTCTCCACGCTCTGCCCAGCCACCTTGGCTCCCGGGGCTCCCGCCTGTCTCCTCGGCTGGCTAGACCACCGGCTCCGCCCGCGTCCCCCGCCCCGTGCCGCGGCCTGGACTGCGGGAGCCTGCGTTTGTTCCCTTCTCAGAGGACAGGCCCGCAGTCCCCAGGCGCCGGTGTCTGAAAACAGCTGTTTTAATTTTTTTTTCCTGTTTTTCCAGTTGTTTATGGAAGTTGGACAGTTTACATGGCAGCTCATCTTCCATGAATGGAACTAGAAGTCATTCGTGATAGCATTTAAAAATTTTTTTTTGTAACTGATAAAATTTCAAGGTTATAGACAGGTTGCAGGAAGAGTAAAGGAAGTATCGTCACATGGTACCATCTCCCTGGTGGTGTCTCCATCCTCATGTGACCCTAATCACAACCGAGGGGTTGTCCTCAGCTGGCCGCCGCCTGAGGTCCCAGGACTCATAAGAATATTTTCTAGGGTCTGGAATCTGTGTCTTTCACTCCTGGTTCATTATTTTTTGATGGGGGAAGAAGGTAGAGAACCCAGGAGAGGCGTGACCGGAGGCCTCACAGGCCCCCGGAGCCACACAGCCTCTGAAAGTTGCCCTCAGAGACGCCCCGGGTTCTGGAAGATTCGGGGATGAAAACAGTCATGTCCCCCCCACTCCATGTCAGGGAAAGCAAGTCGCCATTTACCACCTGCGCTTTCAAGCTCAAAACAGCCTCTCCAGCTTTTAGTTTAAAATGTCAAGGGTGGGTTTTAAATAACTGTTGCCATTTACATACTCTTGAAAGCTTTGTACGGGCATTGACGAGTGGTTTCAGTTTTAAAATTTATGTTCAAACGAAGCAGAGGCTGCCCAGCCACCACACGCCCTTTGCCTGAGAGCCTGTGACCCACGGGCGCGTCTGGCGGCCTTTCTCTCTGAGGCAGAGGACAGCCTCCTGGCCTCGGCCGGGCGACGGGAGGCCAGCACGGTTGGGGTGGTTTGGTCATTTCCCCACAATTAATTAGATTCTTGGTTATTTTGGTCATGATAAAAGCAGTGTTCAGCCTACATAAGTTTATTTTTCAGTGGCTTTTATGTATATAATGTTACTGAAAATCAACCCAAATTCTTTAAAATGATGATATCAGCACCTAATGTTGGAATTTCACCGCTGTAAGTCGAGACGGCAGACCTGACCTCAGGTGATTACACATGTTGCTCTTAGGAGCCTCTCCAGGCCATGTCTGTGTGTCCTTTGGACTGTGTGAGCCAGACACACCACTCAGGCCACTTTAAGGCAGTTAAATGTCCTGTGTGACCTCCTGTACCTCCTGGCTACGCTGGCAGATGACAGCGGCCGGGGGCACGGCCTCTATGCCTTTGAACGGCACTGAGCCCTAGAAACCCTTCAGGGCTTGCAGCCCTCCACCTGCTGTGCTGGGCTAGAGCCACACACACGTCCCTCGGCTGTCACACCCACAGGCATGCCCGAGCCAGAGGGACAGAGGTCAGTCAGAGGGGCCTCCTCTGTCGTTCACACTCCCCGGGGGCCTCGTGATGACACGGCTCAGCCTGTGTGTGTCTGTGTGTATGTGTGTGTGTCAGTCAGTATGTCTGTCTGTGTGTAGGTCTTTGTGTCTGTGTGTATATGTGTGTGTTGGTCAGTATATGTGTATGTGTGTAGGTCTCTGTGTGTCTGTGTGTATGTGTGTTTATTTTTAAGAGTAAACATTGCTACTGAAGGATTTAAGCATAAACATTAAGGAAATCCTTGTCTTCAGTTTGGTTTTAAAAGTCTTACTTTCTGCTCTAGTGACTAATGAGGGGATTACATTTCAATTTACAGAGAAACGGGCCTATTGGAGACATTTAACTCTGAGGCCACAGTTTCGTTCCTCACAAACAGCTTTGTTCCTGTGGAATGCCCCATAGAATTCTGTATCAGATACAGGAACTAACCAGCTCGATAGGAAAGACCCCACACAGCGCAAGAGCCATGCCTAGTTTCACGTATTTGCACCCCCTCTCTATGGGCTTGGGGTTCGCGTAGGGACTAAGAGCGGCGCCCAGCACGTCCAGCCTGTGTGGGGGCGCACAGGCGGCAAAGCCAGTCTATCGGTGTCACCTTCCCGTCCTCACTGCTCTCTGTGAAAATGTTAGGAGTGGGGGCCCCCGGCCTCACCGATGACAGATCCTCTTTCTGTGGGGCAGGGACGGCCGGCACCGCGTCCGCCTGCCCCCGTGACTCCCCGTTGGTGACGACCAGGCACTTCTGTCGGCGCCACCGTTGTTCATGTGCTCCCCAGACTTAGCGCCCCAGAAGAAGATGTATTTGACTGGGAAATGTAGTTTACAAAAAAGTCACTTGTTCGATAAACAGAATCATGTTTCTGTAGGCATCTGTTCTCAGCGACCAAGCAGCCAGTGGGCTTCGTGTCATTTCGAGGCCAGCATCACCCCAGATCATCCTGTGGGAACCAGCCACCTTCTCACCGTCCAGGTCCTTGATACCCAGTTAACAGGGACATTTCTGAAACGCTTCACTCCCCCCGAGAGAGAGCAGCCCCCTGCCCGCCGTGGGGCCCTGAGCCCTGACTGACTGAGGTCCAGATGGGCACCCATGGTCCACACCACCTGTGCTTCTCGTGGTGTTTTCTCTGCGTTGGGTCCGTGTCCTGTGAGGTGGAGTGTTCTGGTTGAGGAACAAAGAGTCAAGAAAGCACTGGGAGCTGGAGACGGGCCGACTGCAGCCCAGGCCCCTGTTAGGGACCACCCCCCCACCCCCACCTGCCAGGGGCGGGGTACAGAGGTGGGCGGGTGCATGTGCACATACATCTGTGCACATTGCTCTGCTGGCACCGGGCTGAGTGGGCACGGCTGGCCCAAGAGTCAGCGTTTAACAAAGCCTGTTGCCCACTCTGAGAAGCCGACTCGGCCATAAGCCCGCCGGCCCCCCTCTGACAGGGCCCTGCTCAGGAAGGGGCTCTCCAGGCTCCCCGGGGGGCACCTGCTCAGCCAGGGACTCAGTGCAGCCTCAGGGCCAGGAAGGGGGGCTCCTGGTGGGGTCCTGGGGTCCTGCAGACCCACGCTTGGTCCTGCTCAGCTTGGAACCCAAACTCTGACGTCCAGCAAGCACCCTGTCATTTTCTGTCCTTCCCTGGCAGTGCGCTCCCCATCGAAACGGTGACTGGACCAGAGCAGAAAGCAGCCTCCCTGGAGAGCCTCTTCAGCCGGCCGGCCACCTGCTCCCTGAGCCACCTGTCCCCACCCAGTCCTCAGGCAGGCGGGCCTGCGTGGCCACCTCCCCAGGGTCGCCCCGCCAGCTGCCAGCTTCGGCCCAACAGCCAGCGCAGAATCCGTGCTGAGTCAGTGTCCATTGAGCAGACAGGCTCAGGAAAGCTGCATCGAAGCCTGAACCCCCATCAGCAGTGGAGGGCTGTGGTCACGGGGTCTGGCCCGCGGCATGGCCGCCAGTCTCAGGATTTCCAGCGCTGCTGCAAAGTCGCTGTGTGGCAGCAGCCGTGGGCGTGACGCACCTTAAAACGGGGCTGTCTGTGGGCCTTGCGGGGACGTGGATTCCACCCGGCTGCCCCCCCACACCCCGAGACTGAGTCACCGCTGGCTCCCACTCACTGCTCACATTGGCGCTTCCTTGCAGGCGGCACAGGCAGAAGCAGCCAGAGCGGGGGGCCCCCGGGGGCCCCCATTGTGGAGCCTGTGCTCAGCCAGGCTTTCAAAGGTGTGCGCACTCCGCTGACGTCATCAGCCCCAAAAGCCTCGTCCTCCCGTCACCTCCCACTGCCTGTCCGGGAATCTTGAGCAGACTCATACTAAGCTGATAGTTCCTTAGCTTAAATTTCTTTTCTCTTTTTAGACTTCTTAAGGGATGATTTTGCTCTCGGGTTTCGGGTGTGTGTGTGTGTGTGTGTGTGTGTGTACGTGTACGTATATAGTGCTGGCCAAATAGTTAAAACACCACTGTAAAAGCAAGTTCACAAACAACATAACTTTTGTAATTTAAAAAATAAGCACGTTTTTTAAAGGTCAGCTATGGTTCAGTTTTCTTACCTTTTTATTTCGGAGTGAAGGACTACCTGGGAAACACTGCTGTGATATAGAGTTTAATGGCTGTTCAGTCTCTGGGGTTTTCTGTCTGCCGAGTGAACAAGCACACGTGGGGTTACATCAGTAGCCAGTTTGAGGCCCCGCTAGCAGGTCACCCTACCAAGGCCCAGGTTCTGTGTGGTTGCTGGGTGGTCCCCCAGCTCCGGAAGCCGAGTGCCCCCGCCACACTCAGGCGCGTGGGGACCGCCTGCCCGGCCTCTTCACGCAAGGGGAATGCTCACCTCTGCGGCATCAGGCCCTGTCTGAACCCGTCACCACGGGCGTCCAGAGCCAGCAGGGCCCGTCCAGCTGTGCAGAGCGGCCGAGAGAGAACTTGGCAGATGGTGGGTCCCCAGCAGAGGGGCGGTGGACGCCCCCATTTGTGTAGTGTTTCCTCATCACTTACCGCTCCAGCAGACATCTGGCTTTCAAACCTACCTAAGTCCTCTTGAAAAGATGGAAACAAAGCCACTTTCCTCCCGAATGCCAGTCTCAAGAGGGTGCAGATCCTCCTCTGTGGTAAAACGTCACTGTGTGTGTGTGGAGGGGGTTGTGTGGAAGGAAGTCGGCAGCCATCCAGCAGGGGCTGCATCCAAGGAAATAGCTCTGAGCTGCCCTTGAAATACGAAGAACCAACAGGCAGGTGTGTTCCCGCCGTGAGCACAGAGCTCAGCCCTGGGGCAGGTGACCAGGAGTGGGGGGCAGCCAAGGCCGCGGGGGGCGGGGTGAGGTGCTCGTGGTCCCGCAGCAGCCAGGACCCAAGGGGGCTCCCCTGGCTTCCCGGGACCAGGCCCTCCTCAGCCCTGGCCTGTAACCTGGCGCATGATTTCTGGAAAAGCAAAAGAATATCACTTTCTCTGCAGGGTGACATTTGGGGGGTATTTTCAATGGGGGGACCTTCCATTGGTGAGATTTCCTCGACCAAAAGGCCTTTTCTGCTGAAGCCACACAAAAGGCACCAGCAGCCTGCGTGACTGTCGTGCAGCCTCAGCTCGTCACCAGCTGACCGTCCGCATCACTTGTCCCTTTGTCCTTCCAGGCCACCATGAACGCCCGGCCTCAGCGCATCCTCTCCACGTCCTCTCTGACCCAGTCGGCGCCCGCCAGCCCCACCAACAAGGGCATTCACATCCAGCAGGCGGGGTAAGTGGCCCGTGTCCTGTCCCCAGGACATCCCTCCCTCTCACCGCCAAGCTCTGTCCACCCTGCCTTCCCCACTTGCCTCTTATTTTCTCTCTGCTTCTCACACACCCCACGTCTCTCGAGTGTGAGCCCTGTCCTGCCATCTTTGCTTCCCCTGGCCCCATGCGCTGTAACAGCACACGCTGAACTGTGAGCCCTGTGGGCCCCCGGGGTTTTATAAGGGGGAGTCTGCATTCTCCCCGTTGTAACCAGCCGTGCAGCCGTGCTCCCACCCCGGGAGGCGGGAGGCTATGCCCTGAGTCCAGGGAGGGCAGATGCATGCACCTGGCTGCTTGCTGAGTTGGGAGCCAGCTGGCTCCCTGCGTTACTTTTCGGGTGATCCCTGGAATCTGTGGGCAAAAGCTAGAAGGGGTCATTAGCCAGCACCAGCAGCTGGTGTCTGGAAGTCACGGTGACAGGTCTGGGGTGGAGGATGTTCCGAGCTGAGGACCCTGGTCCATTGGCCACAGCTGGGGGATAAGCAGACCTGGGAGAAGCCGCCCCGTGTTTGGTTTCAGAGTAACGGGCTCTGGGTAAAATGCAGTGTTGCTTCTTCCCCTGATGGCAGAGGGTCCCCACCGACGTCCAGCGCGAGCAGCTCTAGCCTGACCAACGACGTGGCCAAGCAGCCAGTCAGCCGAGACCTGCCTCCGAGCCGGCCGGGCGCCACCGGCCCTGTGGGGGTGCAGTACACGCCCCACTCCCACCAGTTCCCCCGGACACGGAAGATGTTTGACAAGGGTCCAGACCAGGTACGGACACCTGCACATCCTGTGGCGCTGTGACTTAAACACTGATCCCAGTGGCTGCGCTCCCCAGACCTCATGATTAGGTGGCTCATGTGGCCTCATGCCTCATGGGGGACGCGGGAGCCCCGGGAGGCCCTGCACACCTGTCCTTCCATTTGCACAGCCGCCTGCGAGCATCGCTGCCCCCCGGTCCCGGGCTCGCTGTCGCTGGCGGCTCCCACATGACAGGATGGGCACGTGCACTGGTTGCTTTTCCTTTCTCGGGTAAAGAGCATTTGCCTCCACCTGATGGGCACCGTTCCCAGGAGGATTTGCTGAGTGAGTTGTACGCTTTTTCCATAAACACTCGCTCACACCACAGAAGCGGGCCCGGTCTCTGCCTTTCACAAGGTTGGAAAACAAATTTCAGGCAAGGGTGGGTCACTGATTTGCTCTCCAGGGCTGTGATGACAGGACGGTGGACACGTAGCTGGGCCTTCACCAGCTTGTCCAGAGTTTGCCGTTTTCTCAGCCACGGGCGGGCGGTCTAGAGAGGCTGTTCAGGCTGCTTAGGTGCCACCCAGCTCCCCCAGTTCACCATAACCAGCGATTTTCACACAAAGATCACTGCAGCCTGCAGGATGACCTTTATGATGGGAAGGTTCCCCCACATGCCACCGGCCCCCGTCCACCTGGCTCGCAAGTCCAGCTGCTCTCCTCACCTCCATGACTATAGAGAAAAAACAGCCACGCACGCCCAGTGCAAGAGTCAGCCTTAGGGCTACGCCATGACGTGCGGTGGCCAGGCAGGAGCGGCTGGACACAGAGGCCGCGACCCTCAGGGTCCTGGCCCAGCAGGGCAGTGCTGTGACAGCAGGCAGTGTGCCGTCCCCCCACCAGGCGGGAGGTAGACCTGGTCACTGCATCCCACCGTGAGATTTTCCTCCCTGGGTGACAGGGCTCCTCCCTGAGGGTCACCTTCAGTCCAGCCACCCCTGCCACTGCGGGGACTTCTCAGACCCTGCCTCTGCCTGGTGACTGCCCCAGCCACCACAGGTCCTGCAGCAGCAAACAACGGGCAGCGTCAAATAATTTGTTTAGTTACTTAGAAGTCTCATGTGGCCTGCAATCTCCATCCATCAGCCACTGCACGCAAGGTGGCCGCTAAGTCACCGGAGGCCCTGCCCATGTCCGGGAAGCTGGCTGGCCTGGTCAGAGTGACAGCCCTGTGCCGATGGGCCTGTGCAGCCAGCTCAGGAGAGTGACAGCCAAGGCCACCTCGCCGGCCCCAGGGGACGCAGTTCCCTGAGCACTGACTTGGACGCCCCCACCCCCACTGGCTCCCTGGAGCCCTGTCCCGACACTCAGGGTCCCTTGGTCACCAGGGAACAGCAGTGAGGGCAGCACAGAAATGTTCGTAGAAGCTAGACGCCTGCCAGCCTTTTGTCTACAGTGCCAGCTGTTCGAGGCACACGAGAGCTGGGGGTGACGTGACAACTCTTGTTTCTGTTCTCTCCTCCCCGCCCCCTTCCCAACTCCCTGAAGACCACCGACGACCCGGATGATGCCACTGGACACAAGAGCTTCATCTCGGCCACAATGCAGACCGGCTTCTGCGACTGGAGCGCCCGGTACTTTGCCCAGCCCGTCATGAAGGTAGCCACGCGCCGTTGGTTCTGGTTCAAAGGGCACGCCCCTCGGGCATGAGCCTCATGCTCTAGCTCCCTTCATCCTTCCCCGGGAGCCCCTGCCCATGGCCTGGGGTGTCTGAACCCCTCTGCTCCGAGCTGATGACCTGAACCCCAGGATTTGCTCACTAGGAACCTCAGCTGGCCACTCGCTATGGCTGCCACCGGCCCTGGTGGGGGCACTCAGGCCACCTCCCCAAGCTGTGACCCGAGGCAGGTGGCCAGGGCTGCCAAGGGCCCCCACGGTGCCAGCCACCCGCACTGTCCCTCTGGGGCTGCTGTCCCACTGCATTTGCGACTTTTAAAGGGTGACACCAAATTGCTGTCATGGTAGCCGGTGTTAACAGTTAAAATAAAACAGCAAAAGAAACAGACTTCATTACTTTCCTGTCTTCTCAAAAAAGAAAAAGAAAAAAGCCTGCCACTCCTGAGCTGGCCAGCGTACAGTGCATCGCTCTGTCTTAACTGGCCAGGTGGTTCCCGGCTTTCTCACCCTCCTGCTGGGGGCCGCTGGCGGGCTGGCCCCAGGCCTTGCTGAGACAGCTCTGCTCTGTGGAACTCGGCTGCTGCCTTTTTTTAAGACTCATGCACTGGAGCTAGTTCTGATTGCGTCTGGCTTATTCTGAGAGACAACCTCTCAGGCCTAATTCTGTCACAGTCGTGACACGCAATGTCCTGTCACTGCAGATTCCAGCCACACGTTCAGGGTGATGGGGTGGGACGGGCGATGCTTTGTCAGAGCGAATCCCGTGCCCATCGTCCTGCAGGGAGCTGAGGGGCTCATCTTCAGACGTCCTGCCTAAAGCACGTTCTTAGGAAACCTTCCCTCACATAGGTAATTGGACATTGAAAATTGTAGCTTATTCTTAACTGCACATTGAGCTGTACATCTGAGTAATTTCCGTAGAGTATTTGGACTTTGTTTGGTAGTTGTTGTTTTTTTAAGATTTTATTGGGGAATCAGGGAAGGGGAACAGACAAGTTGCTGTCCTTTTGTTCTTCAGTCTAGTTGTGGAGGACGTCGCTTCACTGGCCCATGTTGGTATTATCGTTGCGCTCCTCCCAGGTGAGGCAGTCGCTCGCCGGCCATTGGACGGCCACTCACCCCGGCTGCTGGCCGCTCAAGGTAGCTTATGGCAGCCCCACTGCAGCCCCCACTATACGCCATCGCCGGCAACTCACAGCAGCCCAGCTCCAGGTTGAGCCGTTGTTCACCATCTTAGCTGTAGAGGGCGCAGTGTCACTGGCCCTCATGTGGGATCTGAACCGGGGCCCTGCTGCTCAGAGCTGGTGTCCCAAGCCAGCTCTTAACCAACGCGGCATTCGGCTGACCCCAAGTATTTAGACTCTTTATTATAACTTTTCTCCTGCTTTCCTCTTTCCTTAGGGTGATACTGACTTTTGTCAGTAAACACACAAAATAATTGTTACCAGTGCCTGAGGCTGGTAATAAAGTTCTGATTTATTGAGCCCCTTTGATGGGAGTGTAGAGCTCTCTTCCACTTTTTAACTGGGCCCAGCTTTTCCAGAAAGCAGTTTGACAGGAAGTATCAAGAGCCTTAGCAGCCATTCCCTTTGACCCAGTAATTCATCTGCGAAGATATTAACTTAAGGATGTAACCAGAGTTACGGATGACGTGTATGTTATTTATAATAACGAAAACGGCAATCAGCTTAAATGTCCAACAGAAGAATGTTTAAGAATTATGAAATATTTGATATGATATTATTGAAGATGTTTAAAAATTTAGCTTAAAAATTAATGTAATTGCTCATAAAATTTTTAAAAGAAATAAAAGCGAGACACGCGGACTGCAGTTTGTCATAGTTGTGACATGACATAGCTGTACGGTCACAGTCATAAATGCCGGACACACACACGCCTGTGCCCAGGGAGAAGACTAGAAGGCAACAAATGACGTGATGCCGGTGGCACTGAATTTGTGTTTTTTCTTATACGTATCTGTCTTTTCCACGTTTTCTACACTAAACACAAAGCACCTTTATAGTCAGAAAAAGAAGTGTTACAGAAACAAGAGGTCATCGCGGCTGGTGGGCTAGGTCATGGTCACCAGAGCACGTCCAAGACCAGCTTGGCTTGCTGCTGCTGACCTCTAGGTGGCTGTCGCACTGTCCACCACAGACTAGGGACAGCACCCTTTCCATCCCAGGACTCCTCTCGGTTAAGGAAAGAATGAGTGAGTGAGCGAACTCTGGGCTTTGTACCAGGAGGCGGTGGACACTGTTGCTGTGGGCAGCGAGTCGTCCTTTAGAACGGCGGTGCCAGCAGGGAAAGGTTAAGTGGCTGTGCTTTAACATTCACAGAGGCCTGGTTCTGACACAGCCTCACCTACGGCAGGTGAGGTCAGGCTGTTTTTTTGTTTTGTTTTGTTTTAAAGATTTTATTGAGGAATTGCTGAAGGGAAACAGCATTGGGGAATCGGGGAAGGGGAACAGAGAAGTTGCTGCCTTTTTGTTCTTCAGTCTAGTTGTGGAGGACGTCGCTTCACTGGCCCATGTTGGTATTATCATTGTGCTCTTCCCGGCTGAGGCAGTCACTCGCTGGCCATTGGACGGCCACTCACGGCAGCTCACGGCAGCTCACACCGGCTGCCGGCCACACACAGTAGCTTATGGCAGCCCACTGCAGCAGGGGCTGCGGCCTATGCCATCACCAGCGACTCACAGCAACCCAGCTCCAGGTTGAGCTGTTGTTCACCATCTTAGCTGTAGATGGCGCAGCGTCACTGGCCCTCATGTGGGATCCGAACCGGGGCCCTGCTGCTCAGAGCTGACGTCCCAAGCCAGCTCTTAACCAACACGCCACTTGGCCGGCCCAAAGTCAGGCTGTTAAGAACTCTGGACGGCCTGGGCTTCCCTCCGGCTGTAAATTATGGTGATTTCTTGGGATGGTGACAAGCGGCTTTTCTTGAAGCCTTTGAAACATGCCTGTTCTCAGTCATTACCTATGACAGCAGAGAGAAGTGGCCTGAATTATCCCAAACTCATTTCTTTTTTTTTTTTCTTTTCTTGTTTAGCTGAGCCATCTTGACACCTGTTGGCAGCTCAGGGGCTGCTCAGCTCGGGCTGGGACTCGAACCCCTGTTGCTCAGAGCTCAAACTCCTAAGCGAGCTCTTAACCAACTGAGCCACTCAGCCGGCCCCCAAACTCATTTCTCTTAAACTTAAATATGAACTTGACTTTTTCCCCCAAGGATTTGCCTCAGTACGATGTACTTAGATTGCCGTTGAGCCAAGTGTGCATCCGTGAGCACACGTAAGCAGCTCGCAGAAGAAAGTGCCCCAGAGGCCAGGACCGAGGTCCGACCACTATGTGTATGTTCATAGTTGCACTCTAGTGCAAACCCAAAGCCAGCACCTGCTCTGTGGCTAACGCCACGCCGCCTGTTTCAGCCGTTTCTGTGGCTAACGCCACACCACCCTGTTTCAGCCGTAGCAGCACATCTGTCTGCCTGCGTGTTCTTCTGTTTGTTTGTTTTACCTGGAACCATGTCTGAGGACTCGCGCTGGGGAGGGGCCCGTGTGTTGCTCACATGGAGGAGGCAGAGGCTGGCACCCAGTGGTCTGGCCTGATGCCCACACTGGCTCCCAAAGCATGGACACCGCGTGACGGGACGGGGAGGCGTCCACCACGCGGCCCTTGGGGCGGTCTGGAGATAGTTGTCAGATGTGTGTGCGATGGTCTCCCCTGACCCTGCCACGCACGTGAAAACAAACTCACGTGTGGTTGTAGCTCGACATGACGAGCTCTGGGTGTGATGGTTGAAAATGCAGCTCTGTCACGGTCACTTTTGTTTGTAATTCCCGATGGCAACTAAGATGTTAGGCCACTCAAGGACTCTAATGATTTTTCTTTGACATTAATCAGAGACCTTTTCTAAAAGCACGATTCATCTCGCTATGTTTTTTAAGTGTTTTCCTACTTTTTCCAGGTGGTAGTCACAAGGTGTTCTTTTATTAATTTCGTTAGTCATATAGGGACATGTTTGTGCAATAAAGTGCATGGGAACTGTTTTATTAGCCTGCTTCACGTGTGAGGCTAGGCTTGTACCTCAAAAAGGACAGAAGAATCCCAACCCTAACCCGCTTCCCAGGTGAGCGTAAGAAGCGAAATATTCCCCAGGTCACAGTGTATGCCCAGCAATACCACCATGTGCCACCTGTGGTTGGTGAGATGGAGGTACCGGGAGGGAGCTGCCAGCGTTACCAGCGTCTCTGTCAGCTCACAGTCAGACGCCTTACAGGTCTGCATGGCCGAAAAGAACTGTGTCCCGGACATGTCCCCCTTTGATGGATGCGACAGCTCCTCTCTTCTGCAGCAGATGTGAGCTCCAGTTCACAGACAGAGCTCACATCTGCTTTAGAAAGAATGCTGAAGATGGTCTGTCATGTGCTTTCAAGAAGATACATTGAAATTTGTTCTGATGACAAAAGCAGTACCATTTTCTTTTCTCTCAGGTTGCAGATTTCATAGACTGACTATGCAGAGGTTGGCTTAGCAGGGAGTGGGGCTCAGACACTGTTGGTGGGAAGATGTTAGCTTGATGTAGGGCAGTTTGGAACCAGGTATCAAAATTATAAAGGCGTGTACCCTAGAAACTGACAGTCCTACTGGGAAGTCGACCCTAACGTCACTACTCTATGTGGATGTGTAACGACACCTCCCACAGGTGCCCAGCACGATACTGTTTGTAGCAAAATGTTGAAAACAAAACAAGAATGTTAATTAGGAGGAGACTGAATTAAAACAATGACCTGCACGGCTGCGATTGGCGTGTCCCTGCGGGCACTGGCTGGGCGGCCTTGACACAGCAGATCCAGTAATCCGATGGCCCAGGACGCTCCCACCGACGCTGCGGCCATCGAGGAAGCCGGGCAGTTACATGTCCACCTGTTCCTGCAGTTCCTTCTGGAAGGCGGGGCTGCCATCAGAAAGAACTATCCTTA